ATTCTGTGATCTAAAAAAGCCTTAGACATGTGTAAAAGTTGAACTTTCGTAGTAACTCGATGTATTTCTTCATTTAGGAGGAACGCTTACAATTAAGAGAGAAATGGGTTAGTATTTCAGCTGCTAACATTCAATTAAAATTAAAATTGGTATTCAAATAATCAAAGAAAAAAATTTAAATAAAGGCAGATTTAATAAGTCTTTACGATTTGGTAACTTTAAAATACGATGGATTGCATATTCAATTGACATTTACAATAATATAATACTGAAGTAAAATCGTAGCATGATTTTTCATACTAGTATTACTGTTATTAAATTAAATTTATTTTTTTAATGATGCTAGTAACCAGGTGTATATCCTCTAAGCATCATTTCTTTTAAAATTAATGGGTACTTTCATGTTAGCGTATTATTACAGATTAATTACAACTAGGAATATATTGTAATCTTGATCTTTCTTCATTACAGGAAAGAACGATAGGTGATCATTAAATTAGAAATAAAGAAGAATATATACAATCATACAGTGTAAAAATGAAATATCGATTGCTATTCCAATGTTTTTTGGTAAAGTAAGTGATACCGCGGAAATTTGTATTGGAATTGAAATGTATTGAAATAAAAAATTGGAAATTTTTTACTATATTTATTAGGAGCGTCTTTAAAAACTGACAGATGTTACTTTTAAGAAGAAATCCTGCAGATTAATTGTACAACAATGTAGAGCAGGATATAGGTTAAAAGTTTGAGGCTTATTCGTCTTGAAGAATTACCCTCATTTCCAGTAATTAATAAAGGCAATTATGAATCAACCTAGGAGTTCTGATAGAAAGCTAAAAATAATCAGAAAGCATCAAAATCCAGATTAAAACTGAAGTAAAATGTATCGTTACTGGAATAAAATATTAAAACAGACTGCATTGAACATGACGATAGAAAATAAAATGGATGTGGCTACATATATATGTACTAGCTAGATATGATTACTCTCAGTTAAGCAGACTTACAAATAATTTTTCAATAGAAGGCTTCGATGTCTTATGTCTTTTGAATTTAGCTCAATAGTAATTATTCTATATTTCTTTACCTGATAGTGTCCGTAATTTATCATTAATTGGTCAAGATTGGTGGTTAGTCCCCAGGTAGCCGATAGCTTAAACTCTGTTAAAATTAAAGAAAAAATTAATGGCTATGTTTTCTCTAACTGATTGCTTGCCTCCAAAAGTGTAATTCTAGCAAGTAGTCGGAATATAATTGCGTTTTCAATTATATGAACGATAATTTACGTCATTTTTACGTGTATACTACTGAATTGAAATGAAAACGATTGTAAGAATACTAGGATGGGCAGACAGATCCTTTAGATAGTCATAACTTTAGCTATCATCGATAAGAACTACTCAAAAAAGTTCTATATTAAAAAATATAAATTTTTTAGCGTAATATTTTTCGATTGGTATCCAGTAGCACACTCTATAAAGTGGGATATGTAAAATTAACCAAGCAAGATAGGCAGCACAGATGCAAGGGTGAAGATGAATTTTTCAATCCATTTAAATGCATCTGATGTCCCAATTTTTTTAAGAAAAAAAATCTTATTATTTATATTGTCATAATCAATTAATTATATTGATTACAAGTTAAAGGTTATAATTAACAGAACTTATTATATATATAACATTGTTGTGATCACAGGTGAAATACTAAAGCTAGCATGCAAAACCATTTAGTCTCGCATGAAGGAATGGAATAGCGCTTTGATCCTTTTAATAAAAGAAACGTCATAGGCGGAAACCCTTAATTTCTCCATTAATGCCTGAATAGTAATGTTGATACATAATTTTACTTTTATCAACGTTTATATAGAAATAGACCTTGCCCATCAAAAGAAGGGTTGTAGTGATACGACATAGAATCATTATTATAAAATGTCAGATGGTATCTTAATTATTACCTATAAATTAATCAATGTTGTATTCAGATTTATTAGCTAATGCATTAAAGTAATTAGCATAAAAAACTCCCGAAGTAATCAATTACAATTTCAATTCATACGTATTTAATATCTGGGGTATTATAATTTTGCAAAATGATCGGTTAGGAGGCTATGTGAATTGCTGGACTTTCTTTTCACTTTATCAGCAAATTGCAAAGCTAAAATTATATAACGTAATTCATTTCTTAAACATTGCCCAAAATGGTTGCTCTTATCATTTCTAATCAAAAATAGATTCTAAGTTATCGCTATCGTAGAGTCTACTGTGTATTATGTTGGTAGATTAACAATCGCAATATGAGTAGTTTTACAGTTAGTAAGTTTTTAATACTCGTATACTTGTAGTATTTTAGCCTTCTCCAAATACAGTAATCATAGCTAACGAAAACCAATTTTACCAAGAAGTTTCTTAACTTTACCTCTAGGGGTGGAAATATTGTAATGATTGGTTTACTATGTAAAATCAATATGCTGCGTAGAACACTAACTATCAGATCATGTTGTTATAGATAATGTACACCGGAATAAATATTGCATCGCCATAAAAGTATTGTTTTAATGATATTGTACTCTATTGCATTCGACACTTTCTCCGTTGACTGACATTTCTATTGTAGCGCCTAGCTGTATCTTCCGTATTTTAGAGAGATATAAAATTAGATTGTTCCTTACTTACAACGAATTTGTAGCCGTGAGAAATAAAGTAATAGACAGAATAGCATACGCCAAGATAAAACATATCTTTCCTATTCTGAAAATCAACACTATCAATCGAATATTTACTTAGCAAGGAACGTATTAACAATATACCGCTATCGTAACATTTCTTTAAAGGCTATCGAAAGCTAAAGTTGGATCAAATCGATCAAGATTGAATTTTATTTCTAAAGTTGCTATAAAGCATGTCAATATATAAAAAGTCTATTATCTACATCAACACCGTGTTATACCTCCATGAGCTATAGTCCATGTTAATTGTAACCATAATTTTAATTTACATGTTCTACCCTGCCTAGGTTACAGTCGTTACGAATATGAAGTTATAAAACAAAATAATTATTTAATTTTTACATTATGCCCTTTTGAATCGCGATCATTTCTTTCCGAAATTCGATTGACAATAAAGTAGTTAAAAGCGGATCTAAAGCTATATAATACAAAGGATGATTTCGATAAGCGATCCATGCGGTTCCTTCTGAATATTGCCATCATTTTCGATCATGTAACTTTTAAATTTTTACGTTACATTTGCCTATATCCTTGAAGTATAGTCTTATATACATAAAGGAAGTATAAATATACTGTATTATTAATAACTCAACGGTTTTAAAATTCTTTCAATTCATTCGTTAGTCTTGAAATTGCCTTTCCTCTTTAAGTTCTTCCAATAAAGTATCGACCCATCTATAAAGAAAAGTAAAGCAAATACAATTCGCTTTAGTAATATTCGCAGCACGACTGTACGCAATGTCGCAAATGCATATGCTCAGCTATGCATGAAAGAGTCATTGGACTAAATATACTAACGCCAACTGTTGACGACATTGACTCGCTTTAGCTTCTAGAATTTGTAAAATTTCATCTTGATATTCCTCGTCGCTAGATATGGAATCCAAGTCAACATTGTAGTCTTCAGGCTCTTTCATATCGTTTTTTTCTTGCGGCACAATATTATGGTCAGAACTTCCTTTGGATAAATTCTTTTGTACACTAGCGCTTTCTTTAGCGATATCGTTCACATCTCCTAAACTCATGTTAACGTTCTTTTCATAGTTGTTGCAATCCGATACCAAAAGATCAGCATTTACGGCTTTATCTGAGGTAATTTCAGAATTATTGTGCTTCAATAAGCTTTCTTCCTTTTCACCAACTGTGTGTACACTGCTTGTAATTAGGGATTGATTTACTAATGTCTTTGTGCTATTTTCCGTTTTATTGGTAGCCACGAGTCTATCACCAGTAATCTGTTCCAAGTGAGCATTAGTTTGGGTATAAACGTCGAAGGAAATGGTCTTCGCTACCATCTTAGCGTCAAAATTATGAACAGTTTGTACAGCAGCATCCTTCAATCGATATTTAGTATTGCTAATCGTATTTGAGTAATTAATTTCTGAACTATGCAGATTGCTAGCCACACGTGGAATAAATTGTGATTTAGTTTTCAGGTACCCTAAAACGGAAACGTGCACCTTTAAACTACATACATGCATGACATTTTGTCCATTTACTTATTTAATACTTATCCAATTGAGATTTGAATACCAACCTGATCTGGCCCTCGATAATCTAGCTAACTCCATCTTTCGTGCTATCCGCCACTGATATAATAGGTCATCGTTACTATGAGCATGACTAATTTCTTCTGGACAATTGTTTTTAATATTTTGAGTGGTAGTATCGAAATTTTTTATTACTCTTAGAGGAGGACTTCTAGAGGTTTGCTTGGAGATGGTTTTACTATCGCTTGTTAAGACATAACGATCGCTTTTTCGATCGGACAGGTCAGACGAGAATCCGTCGGTGCTTACACGAGGCATCAAACTGGATTCTGATAATACGCTTTGGCTGGAGAGTTTAAAAATAAAATGTAATAACATGAGCTAAGAAGGCAATAGCATTGTCAGGATCTGGCACTGCGTTGACCATAAAGATAAATCGTTTTTAACTTTTTACGTAAAGGCATATAAATCTAATGGCTCTACAGGATTGCTACTATTACGTAATGAGATAGCGATACCTTTCACTGATTAGTAAATTGGCTCGTTGGTGTATGTCATTCAATGGATCTAATTTTCTTTCATCGTGGCTAGTTGCTGTGTTACCGCTATCACTCTATTGAAAATATGAATACACTGTATCATAAGCATTTGAACAGAGTTTAATTATAACCAAAAATATAAATATGTATCAAATTACTGTCTTTCCATCGGCATTGGAAGTGTGTTCTTTCATTGCCTCACGTTCATAATGGATACCTTGCAGGCTTTTAGTGATTTCTGTCTTGTTGTCGTTGTCTTTCCACCAGAAGTCAGATGTTTCAGTAGAAAGATTTCGTTCATCCCTTGGAGTTGGTTTTGATTGTCGAAATCTATCTATATACCTGCAATATTTAACCACGTTACTGAGTAAGTGATAAAAGATTTCACTGATTCCAGAATTTGGATCCCTATCTCTTACTCTAAGAATCTCATAGGCCAGCTACTAACTAAAGACGTAATAGTTTGCATGTGGCAATTAAGATATAAATATAGTATACATTATATCATTTCGCTAACCAAGAAATTGTAGTTTTATCAGATTTGGTTTGATTGTTATTGATTTGGTCTCTTGAGGGGATCGATTTGTGTTCATTAAGGCTACGGTTGAGACTAGTTAACTGTGCTGATGTAAAATCCTTATTGCCATTGCTGTTGTCAGCAGTTTTTGCGACATTACTGCGTCGCTGATTTGAGGTTGATTCTGGGGTGGACATTGCCATAGACTGATCACTGCTGGTAGTTGGCCAAGTTTCTTCATCATATAATGATTCTTGTTGATTTGCTATAGGTTTCAAATCGTGAGAACGATCGATAAATGCCTTCGAGATGAGCTCCAAGTTTTCCTCTTCCTTATCCAGCCGTCGAGGTTTTATCGATATCTAATCAGTCATGAAGTAGGTTTGTCATTACAATCATCGACCGTATTACCACAAGAACATATTGAAATAGATTTTAATATGCAATGGTAATAACAAAGAAGTTATTGTATTTAACTGTTATCATATCCTTTTGCATAAACAGAACTGCATTTATGATCCTTACAAATTGGATACTGGCTAGTGGCACTACACTATTAGGCTACAATCAATCCAAAAGTATCAGTTTAAGCAATGTTTCAGGCGGAAATGTTAATTAATTAATTTGGGAATATTGCATCAACTTCAGCGTGAAATTAACTGGCAAATTCTAGTGTGGACCTTTACAGGAGGCTTTAATTACTTCCTCTAGGTTGTGAAACGCATACAGTATTTCGCCATGTTATTCCGTAGGAAATACTATACGTCGTTTATTACTACTATTGTATTGGCATGAATTTTAATCAAGGAGTTTGATCGAAACAGTAAATTTGGTACGGATTTGAGACGATATTCTATCTTTGAGATCATGAGCTAATATCGACAAAATGATGCACAGTAAAATTGATATAGTATGTTAATACAAAAAATACAGAAATACAGAGGGCAAAGGAGGTTTCAAATAAGTCAAAATAACGAATTGATATTGTCAGCGTACTAAGAAGGTATAGAACCGATGCAATGATGTGAGTAGCCATTGAAGCTTACTACAAAGCGTAGTATAGAGTATTAGTATAGCACTTTGCAATACAATAAATTATGTCCGAATGGCGGGGTCATTTGATCAGTCCATATTCAATTGACTGCATATGATGGCATGAAAATAAATTGAGCGGATGATCATCATTTATGTAGAGTGGAATGAACCTGACGTCGTTGTTCTGGATCAAAGTATTTCTCAGGAGTAGGATAATAAAAAGGCCGAGATTGTTGTTCCTCTTCAGCAAATGGATCATCTGTGCTAAATACACTACAAAAGTATCCAAAATAAGAGTACACGTTAGCAGCATATTATCACTGTCGGTCGCTATTACAGTCATAATGAGGGACTACTTAATAAGAACAACTTCATGCAGTCTATTGAGTGGTAATTCGCCTAAAATCTACCTTTCCATCATGCTCAAGCATTGAACATCTACAATTGACTATCCTATATCATGGCTGTACAATTGTACATGTAGCTAGTACGTTGCTCTATACACTCATGCAGTACTGTGAATTCATCATTTCTTCACTCACCAATCCTTATTGCTGTTGATAGTCCTCAAAGCCATCAATGTTTTACTGTTGCTTCTATCTTACGCCGAGATGTTGTTGGACATTATTTCCAATTCATTTCCACTTTCAAAACGAACTCGTTTGCCATGGTAATCATTGGAAGGTGACGTAAGTGTGTGTTGAAGCCCGCCACGAATGGAGTGTGTACGACCGTCCGTCCGAGAAGAGTACCCAGTACACTTGGACTACTCAAATGGACTAGGTGCTCTCCTCGGATGGACGGACTTTTTCAAATCTGATTAGAGTGAAATGTGGAAAAAGAGTTGCTCAGTATCGATTTTCCGTGTCTGTTTTCTAAATCACTCGTATTAATTTGAAATAACATTGACGATCTGAAGTTACTGCTTGCAAGCAGAGATTAGCAATAGGTAATGGAAGGCAATGAAATATGACTTCATTAGCAAAAAATCACTTCATTCACAATCGACTGTTAGCATACTAAAGTACAGCACAGTCATAACGCAGTGTTTAGAACAATTTGTGAAGGAAATGAGGCCAGATGTCTGTCCGTCTAAAGAGGGTATTTTGGAGCTACTATTACTCAGTGTACTGTACAGTGTACAGTACACTACGTACAGTACTGTACACTGTATCCTTGAGCGTACCGTTTTCTGCAGACCGGGGTCCGGACCAGACCAGACCAGACCAGACCGTCAAGACCTCAAAGTACGGCATCAGCATCCCGCATCACTAGTCTACTATACTGTACAGTACAGTATTTCATATACCCTACTGAACAGTCATAAACGGCTCAATTTCAGAAATGAGTATGGTGGAAGTGGCAAACGGCTGAGATCTGTCAACATTGCGCATGCACTAAAGGCCGAGAAACCGAGCTGGTCTAGACCGGTACTGTAGGTGAGTATACAGCACAGGACAGTACTCTTGCGTATAGTCAAGCGTATCGATTTTTTCAAAGGCTCTCATAGTGGACAAGGCATCATGGCGACTGGCAAGAAAACGAAGACGTTATATACACAGGATCAAGTTGTTGCACAGTTTAACCATTTAAGACAGGAACAGAGAGCGATTGCTTCCAAGATTGGCGAATTAGAATTAGAGAAAAATGAGCACAAGTGAGTTTGTAGACTTGTAAAGCAGTAATAACAGGATACTATGGACTTGTTGTCCAGCTCTAGCAGATGAAATCCATCGATTGCAATGGATCCACTTTCACATAGCGAGCTGCTAAAGGAGATAGATTGTTTCGGTTACATGCTTACTTGTTGTCATGATGTTGGCTACGTCAATGAATCTATGCATTCACTTCTTTTTATACAGAATTGTCATTGATACCTTGCAAGAGGTCGACGCAAAGAGGAAATGCTTCCGTTTGATTGGAGGCATTTTGGTTGAAAGGACGGCTGGAGAAGTCCTTCCAGCGTTGCAACATAACCAAGAGCAGGTATTGTAATAGTAGTAGAAACGTGCAACCCACTTAACGTTGTCTTCTTTAATTTTGGAATTACTTTAATCGAATTACACTACTGTATTATCATGGACTGCAAATACAGTGCTATACAGTACCGTAGAGCTGTGTACCAGCATTTACTTGTGATATATGAAATGAAAATCGTTGGATATCATCTCATATTATTCTCAGTGAGACACCAAAGCGGATACGCATGTTAATTTATACTATACAGTCTACTTTATACTGTAGTATAGCGAGAAGGTAAAGCCTACGCTTTTTAATGCCATACTGCGGCTAGGTTCTTAAAGTTAACTTGATTGTTTCCATGCTTACAGATCATTAAAGCAACGGAAAAACTAAAAGAGAGATTAGGTACCAAAGGAGAAGAGATAAATCAATTTAGGCAAAAGTATAACATTAAAGTCAGAGGAGAACGAGAATCCAATCAGGAAGAGAGCAAAGAAACAAAGTCGTCTGGCCAAGGGATACTCGTTGCTGGCAAAGATTAACAGTTTACCAATCAAGAATTATAATTTAAACTATCGTTGATCAAGGATGCACTTGCTTCATCTTCAATTGTAACTACCTATCACTGCAATTACTCATCTACAGTGACAAGTACTTTTTCGTCAAGTTTTATTCTGTTTTCCGTATGGATTACGGATAATTTTCAATTGTTATGTAAGCGGTATTGGAGATATTTTACTAATAACATAAATGAAGGAATGAAGGAATCGTTAGTTAATTTATCTTGAATTAGTGTCATTTTAGTAAGATTCTGAAAACAATACATTCACTTTTGCTTTGATTATACCGTATACCTATTTCGGTAAACAATCTAAATCATTATGCTACTGTTTGTATATAATTAGTTGTATATGATTTTCTGACTAGGTATATGTCGTTTTGTAATTTTCTTGATTAAAGAGTCTGTATATCGTGAAAGAGTTCAGTTTCAATAATTGAGCAAGAATTCTCCGATGGATTTCCCTTATGCAACTTTAGTTGTGCTATATCACACGCCAACAGTTTAAGATTGTCTTCACATTAATTAAACACAATGGACGTGTATGTCCAATGGAGACAACAACAATAACTTAAGACGGTAACTACCAAATACATTAAAATACGAGTACACAAATTAGTATAATCTCGGTTTCATCATCAAATTGTAATAAAATAATAATAATAATATCATACCTACGTAATATCTGTATATATCCAAATCATAATGATGGACAAGTCCTTACGCACACGTTGTAAGTTAAATATAGATTAAAATGAATTTGAACATCAGTCTATAATATAGTGATTATCCTAAGAAAACGCCAGTTCAATTCGTTCGATATCGTTGCTTCGCCTCATTTGCGATACGCTAAAAGCGTATTATAGTCATTTATGCTGAAATGAATTGGATAATTCGACGATAGTTCAGCTTCTCCAGTATCCTATTTCACGTCTATTCAGACTTTGTTACTTGCTGAAGAAGTCGGCGGACTAGGAGCTGGGGCGTCAGGCTTACTATATAAATAAGTGGCGACAAGTACAATGCAAGTTCCATACACAAAAAATTGAGATGGAATAAAGTCTTGTAAAACGTAATAAGATAAAAGTGAAGATGTTATGATTGAGATCGATGTAGCGAATCCTTTAAGGATGTTGTCAGCGTATTTTACAACAACGGCGACTATCAAACCCCCAATAGCCTGCAATGATGATTGAAAAAAAAATTTGTGTTATGATTACGACAGCATACATAGTTGATGATAATCCTATTCCCAACATTCGGTACAGCCTTGCTATCGAGCGCAAGAATAATCTAAACCTGCGTTTAAAACATACTAAAGCAGTGTAGCATTACCTGTAAACTTACGACGATCCACGTAATGTTATTATAGCCTTGGAAAAAACCATCTTTAACAAGTGCATCATAATCTTTGTACAACATTCCCATTAAACCGAAAATAAATCCAAATGTACCAAGCTGTACGTTACGAACCCAAATGGAAGACTTTGTACCTACAGTATAAATGAACAAGTTACACAGATTGGAGATTTAAAAGTCAGTGGTAATAAAATATTTATGGAGATTGTCATGGACAACACATATTGGTAAATGATAAAGTCAGGCTTACTTTAGTAATACAGTATGATACTAGCCCTACCAAAGTGTAAACTACTACTTTCGTGATCGAAGATTACTATAAAACATAGGGCGAATGGGCAATTTCAGTTGTAATAAACTCCTTAGTCAGTTTCGTTGAGTCTGAATAGAATTAGCAACCTACAGTACTACATAGGCGTTATGACAAGAAGGTAGCTGTTTGGCACCATTACAACTGCAACTGCAATATAGATGATAACCATAGAGTTAGCAGAGAAATCAAACGATTTAATAGAAGCCAATGCCGTTGCATGTACAGTAGGGATCAGTCTCTTGTAGGTGATAAAGTAACAATCAGAGTATTAAAGTATATCTATCTGCCTTTAAGTAAACACCTTAACTTTGACAGATAAATAAGGCTCATCTTTCGTTGAATTTTCAAGCAATATCGTGATACCTTCAAGATACTACTGTACTACGTGGTCACTATAACACAATGTTATGATGTGTAAGGTCTGTTATAGGAGAGTATTAGGTCAAAAATATCAAGGAGTAACATCATTGCTATGATTTTTCATTTATTAGTAATGAATTATCGGTACCTCTAAGCGAAAGAGTGTCTCCATATTGATCGTATGTAAGTACAAGTAAAAATCTTCAACATGGGCCGAGTATGGTATTTGATTACCAGTATCATCACAAGTTGTGAAATATTCTACATTTAATGCTTTCTAAATAATATTTGTAGATACTATCTATGGGGACATACTGTACTATATAATGTAATCCAGTGAGGTCGTGAAAAGTGTACAGTAAAGTAAGTACAACTGCATAGATCCGCATAATGAATAATGAAAATGTATAGCATACCTAGTTGATTTCTTTAGTACCAAAATACTTGTAATGCACGAAATAGTAAATTATTAGTTAATATTACTACTATATGTCATCAATCTATTCATGGAGATGTCATATAACGTTGACTTTCTTACAATTTACAAAATACAGTAACTAGACTATCCATAACGACACATTTTTTCAACTAGCTTGCCTGTTAATTATGTCATTAATAAGCCTGGATATTGTCTAAGCGTACACAGTCTGCAAGTATTTTATTGCAATTTGAATATTATATACATATTGTTCTTATAGTCTTATTTGCCAGAATGCACAGTACTGTACGATGCATTACAGATATGAATAATTGTTGTTGATATTAGTATATAACTCTAGTAAAGTGCAATAATCACTGAATGGCGAATGAATGGGATGGTTGATTAATGGATAAGAATTAATTATAGACTGATGTACTAAACATCAACGTTAGTGTCAATAATATCGCATTATGGAGGGAACAGAAGCGTAAAGAATGCTGAGAGTATTATACGCGTTCTAGAACACTGTAGCCTACCTTTCAAAATTTTTTCAAAATAAACTCCGGAAAATCCGCTTGATAAACAAGCAGTAAGGACAGCAACTAATCCCAAGAATTGCTTCGATTTAGATAAATCTTTGGAACTATGTGGCCCCTTCGTTGGCATCTAAATATTTCGAAAGTGAGTTAGTAATTTGATGATGCTAATATATAAATCGATAATAATACATTAGGTCAATCAGAAGTGATGTCCATATCCATCGATTGGTAGGTTGTGGTTGTCTATACCTATAAATGATGCACAAATTCGTCTACTGTATGTATCACCTCCGCAGTCTACGACTATTGTAAGAGTACTCAAGAAATCCAAAGTCATATTTGATTGTATCCATAGTACTGCAGTAGATAAACTGTCCAATTGGAGGACTGCCTGTACATCTTTATAACTCTCTATAACATTTACGCTACTTTTAAGCATGCACGAAATGGTCGTTATTGGAGGATAACATGAAATCTATCCAATTTCAATGAGGTAGCTGCTTGAATGCAGTCCACTTGTTACCATGTAAGTTGTACTGGTAAATCAGCTACGATGGCTGATAATGTTGCAAGCACTGGACGCGTTGAAAGTGTGCTTACGGCAACTTTCTTACAAGTAGAGCACTGTCTACACTCACCTGAACCAATGAGACACCAGCCATGAGTAAGACTAATGCAATCCACTTAGTCGAGCTGAGTCTCCTACCCAACATGGTGACGGAGAAAACAGCAGTAGTTAAAATTTTTAACTGATAGGTGACTTGATATGTAGCTGCGTCCAGGTTGGATAAAGCAATGTAGAGTAAATTATTTTGCACCGTATAAAGCCCAGCTGGAATAGCCAATTTAATCGTCTCAGAGAATTGTCCAATACATTCATCGCGAACGACTGCAGTAAACTTATGAAAATTGAAGCCGACTTGTCGAAAGATGATTAACAAGCAAGTAATGACTTTCATCGCTTCAGCAATAACCACTGCAGTAGTGACCAGATACATCGTCTTGCTAGGTATAGTTCTAGAATATCGCATGATCAAGACCAAAGCGGTTGTTTGAAGCGTTAAAGTAAATAAACTAATATATTTTAGCGAAACATTGATGGTACCGATTCGTATCGTCGGATCCGTATTGCTATTACTTCTACCATCGCTATTTTTATTTTCTTTCATTATAATCCTATTCGATAGGTTGAAACTAGCGTAAGATTGCTGTAGAGGCGTAATAGAAAACTTTGCTAATCGTATCGATTGCGTGTGCTAATAGGCTAAGAAGAAAGTAGGGTAAACTATTGAACGATGTTGCAGCCAGTTTACAATTTGTAGTCAAGGGCAAAATAGCGACTCTCAACGCCAGTCCAAGTACGCGTAGGATCCAGTGATTTTCCCCTTGGTAGCAAGGATGTAATTGCTTCGTCAATTGGATGATTAATAAGGCTTTCCTTTCGTAATTCTAATAGCCACTCTATAGCTTAATAATCTCTTATTCTATGTCTCCACTTCTAGACGAGCCAAGTTGGTCAAGGTTGCTTTCATTCTTGTCCCATTCCAAGAGGAATAAACGGAAGGAAGGATCGTTTCGTCATTAGTATGCGCCTGCCCACTGTCCAGTCTGGACAGTGGGCTTTGTCTGTCTGTCTTTCTGTCCACGACCAATGACTGGCTGTGCTACACGCTTATGTCCAACTTTTATACTACCTTGGATAGCCAAGAATGGACTGATTCTGGCAGGGAAAACTCTTGTTTTAGGCTATATCAAGATTGTATGTTTCAAACATGAGACTATCGCTTGTATAACGTGCACACTACAACAACGCATTCAGCAGAGTTTACTTTTCCTCCATTGTCCTATCCCGGCTGCAGCTGTAGCATCCAGCGATTGATCGATCGCACCTGTGACACCTTCAACGTTGTCAATCATGCCAACCCCAACTAGCGATGAGAAAGATGGCGCAGTGAGCCAGTGACTGTAGTGGCAAGTTAGCTGGCTATGGCAGACTGGCAATGGCCTTCTTTCCTTCAATGACTAGTCCCTATACGCCATTAAGAACAACAGGATACTCATTGAACGTTGATGGTTGTCGTGATTTCAGCTTATTAAAGTAGTTTTGTGTAGGCAATAGAGTGATAGCATGTAGTGTAGAACTAACTGTACGTCTTAAAGTAAGTGTGGATAAGGCCAGTATGATGAAATGGCAAACATTTAGGGCTAACAACCCCTACACTACAATGGTTAATCCGAATTAAAGTCCAATGTCATGATTTCAGCTCATGACAGTAAGGCAATGCAGAAGTGAGCTGGCCTATGGCCTTCTTTCGTTCAATGACTAGTCCCTATACGCCATTAAGAACAGCAGGATACTCTTTGAACGTAGGAACTACTTTGATGGTTGTAGTGATTTCAGCTAATTAAAGTAGTTTTGTGTAGGCAATAGAGTGATAGCATGTAGTGTAGAACTAATTGTATGTCTTAAAGTAAGTGTGGATAAGGCCAGTATGATGAAATGGCAAACATTTAGGGCTAACAACCCCTACACTACAATGGTTAATCCGAATTAAAGTCCAATGTCATGATTTCAGCTCATGACAGTAAGGCAATACAGAAGTGAGCTGGCTTATGAGCTTCTTCGTTCAATGACTAGTCCCTGTACGCCATCAAGCACAGCAGGATACACATTGAACGCAGGAACTACTTTGATTGCTAATTCGAGTCAAATATCGCGATTTCAGCTCATGACAGTAGCCAAGTTTGTTTTTTTTAAGGCAATACAGAAGTGTAGTCGTGAATGAGCTGATGGCAGACTGGCAATGGTGTCCTTTCGTTCAAGGACTAGTCCATGGACGCCATCAAGTACAATAGGATACACATTGAATGCAGGAACTACTTTGACTACTTTGATAGCTAATCCGAGTTTGAGTCCAATATCATAATTTCAGCTCATGACAGTAGCGATGTATTTTAGGCTATACAGAAATGTAGTTATGAGTGAGCTGATGGCCGACAGGCAATGGTACTCTTTTGTTCAATGACTACAGTAGTCCATGTACGCCATCACGTACAACAGGATACACATCCAACGCAAGAACTACTTTGATGGTTAATCCGAATTGGAGTCCAATATCATAATTTCAGCTCATGACAGTAGTAATGCTTTTTTTATAAGGCAAGTGGAGTCATGAGGAAGCTGGCCAATGGCCCTCTTTCCTTCAATGACTAGTCTCTGTACATCATCAATTACAGCACAACAGGAGATGCATGTCGAACGCAGGAATAGCTTTGGTGGTTAATCCGACTTTGCGTCTAATATCATGATTTCAGCTTATTACACTAGCGATGTGTAATAATAATAATTAGGTCGCATCAGCACAATTGCCTCCCATGACTTTCACCGATATTTTCTACTCATGAAGAACTATTTAGTTAGTAATAAATGGAAAATTCTTTCTAATGTATCTATCATTTACATTTATATGTTGCTTTTTATAATGTAAGACACATTGACTTTAAGATTGAGTTATACTATAGATGGCGATCATCCGGGTGGCACTTGTCCTAGAATCAAACAGTCTACATAAACTACGCAGTTTACAGTCAATCTATAATTATTTTACCAAGCATCAAATGCTGATTCAATAATTATGTAATTGTTTAATTCCATCTGTTGTGTATTCAGTCAAGAAAGCATATAATCAATTACAGCTCACTATACTGTACTATCAATGATAATAGCTTAGTGATAATGATAATGGACTTCGACTTTGATTACGTAGATGATCTTATGAAATAATTGCTTAGTAAACGACATCAACTATTGCTACAGCGAAAAGAGCTGCTACTTTGTATCCCAATACGATAATAATTACTCGGTAAAGGACATCAGCTACAGTGGTGAAGAAAATACTTTTTTCGTTGCTTCCATTATCACTGATGTCAATGAGTAGGGTGCAAACAGGTGCAAGTAGCAGTTGCCAACTGGGCATTATTACTCAAAAGCTGCGACGAGATCTTTTGCTAGTCCATTTATTTTTCAGTCAATGCAATGTCTTACATTGGTGTTTACTCATTCAATTCGTTTCGACATCTTCTCTATATAATGGACAGTACATTTTACCTTGTATTGTAAAGATTCGGAGAAATCAATGTATCTCATTGCAAGTGTATTAATGACGATCCTATCAAAGATGCAAGCAAGAACAGTGATCACTTCCACGTCCTCAATTGATCCTGTGTTAAGCCTGAGAATGATTCAAACAAAAGATTCGACACAGTATGGAGAAAGTGGTCTTGCTTAGAAACAATTACCATGCTACGACAGATGTCGACGATTTTATCAGTCACATTAACACTGCAATCCCTCTCATAGCGATTTATGGCTAAGTAAATGCGCTAGTTAAAATCCTTCCACTCATTTTGACAACCTATGAGTGAATACGAGTATAATTAAATTAACAATTACTCTCGTAATCTTATTCAAAGAACCGAGATGTGGTATAAACGTTATCACTAAATCATAGTGGCAACTTCTTTTCATTGAATACTGAAAATATCACGGGTAGACATTAAGCTTGTAGACCAATTGCACTTTGTACTTCATCTTTGATATTAATAACTAAACTTTAGGTACAGATTAGATAGATTTTCAACATTGGATTAATTTAACTGCAATATTACGGTAATACGATAGCGAAATGAAATATATTAGTCAACTAGGTCAGTACCTATTGAATCTTTCAACATGACGTGTAGTAAAGCCAACTCTTAAGGGTCTTCAATAAATCAGACTATCTGGATTTAAAACCCAAATCAAGCTTTATTGCAATAAAACCAACTGTAACTGTACTTACAAAAACTATGAACAAGAAGACTTTCCGATCTACTCGTTGTGGACGCTTAGAAACATGACGTGTAGTAAAGCCAATTCTTAAGGGTCTTCAATAAATCAGACTATCTGGATTTAAAACCCAAATCAAGCTTTATTGCAATAAAACCAACTGTAACTGTACTTACAAAAACTATGAACAAGAAGACTTTCCGATCTACTCGCTGTGGACGCTTAGAAATCCGAGCGCAAGACTTATTTAGTAATGGTAGTAACATTATCACGCTTCTACGCGCTAAGCACGGGCATTGAATTACCATATTTTGTCGGGTTACGAGCAATTAATCGTCTTAAACTAGGCAAGTATTATAACCTACGGTAGTGCATATTAGTAATTCTATACTTAATTAAGAATTTAACTTAAGTACTAAACTCATGCCACTCCATGACGACTATTATGATATTCAATATATGTTTTAGATATGTATAAACCCAACAATATGATTACTGTTTCATATTTGCTTCAAGTACAAGCGATACATGTACGGTATATCCTGTTAGAAAACCATCATCTGGTTTTTTTTCTATTTAAAAATGTTGTCAATAGATCAAGACATAGCAACTTACATGAAGTCACTAAAAAATGCAGTACTATTACTACTAGCTACGTTGATATGAGTAAATCAATTAAAAGCCAGCTTTATGAATTAAAAAATGTAACAAAAACGAATTAAAAATCCTTTCTACTGAGGCGATTATGTCGTTAAAACTTTCAAAGCAGGCACATTATAATATTTCTATTCATTCTACTCTACATATGCTGACGTCGTATATCTACGTATCCGTCTACAAGAAAAGGTAACATAATTTACGCTTATTATTTGCAACAAGCTGCTGGATTTGCGAGATAGGCTAGTATATGAAGATATACTGTACATATATACAGTAGACAAATAACAATATCCTGGTAGAGAAGGTCATCATCTCTTCTTCTAGCTTGGAAATCTTCCTCATAAGGTTATGGAGATCTGAACCTATTGTCCAAATGGGATTTCCAAACATGCCAATATTTTTGCACAATCTTCATTGTAACTTAATTACTTTTATGTTGTTGATTCATGGGAAAGTATTAACAACTAAAACTTTGATCACGCTATCATTGAAAGCATTTACTTTATTGCGTTATAATATTTGACATTCAGCATATACGTATAGTTCTCGTATATCCTGCTGACTTTCTGTCAACCAGATTTCAATTAAAAACAAAAGGATTGTAAATGATTCCACGAGTCACATTGCTTTCACATAGAATGGAAAAATGGTTGATTTTGTCAAGTTCTTTATTGAATATTGTGATTTTATTAGGTAGATCAAATTATAGATATATTATACCTTGATTGATATCGATAAGGATGATTAACTTTATTCTTATAATTATATTATATACTCTTAAAGAGGTGTTATCCATTCTTAGGTATCACGCAAGGACAAGATAAATAATGAAAATGTTATCATCACGATTTGGCAAAAAAATTCAATCTTGTTTCCACTATATAGAGAAGTTAAGAACAGACTAGCATTTTAATGTTAGTAACAAGTGCAGTTCAAAATTAGACTAGCAAACGAAGATTTTCATTGTGAACATAATAAATTGATTAGATAATTCATGATATAAAATAAGTTTAATGTTACAATATTCATATTATTTACATACATACGTAATCTAACAATTTATGAATTATTTACCATTCGCATAAAATTGGATTTTTAAGTCAACAACATCATGATATTCATCGAAATTTCATGGTATAATGACTTTTATTTTACTATTACAAAGAATTGATAACCACTTCCGCGCTATTACTATCTCTTATAGATCGATATCCAGTCTAAACTATGTAACATCGACTGGGGTGTAGGGTTATCTAACTTGCATCAATAATTACTACAATAATCATAAGAAGAATTTTTTACCTACAGGCAATAACGTAGAACCTTTTTTAAGGATGTAGCCAGAAGTAACGGATAGCGGAGATATTTTACTACTTTACAATAATGTCTCTTTTAAGGTGCAAATATCGTAATTGATATACATGAGTAAAATTCTTCTTTTTTAAATCATGGGTATAAGCATACTATGAATGATCATTTTGATATTGCATTAGTGATAGTTTGTATAATAAAAAATTTTCATCAGCGCTATGATAAGATTTCTGTTTCATAATTCAGCTTAGATCATTATAACTTATACCGATGTAATTTGTTGCGTGATACTGGAATGAGAAGAACTTTTACGTGAGTGAACCAACCTATCTTCGTTGCAACCGCGTGAAGAATATATTGGTGTATCACTTCGATAACTACATTTATAGATAGAGCAAAAACGCTGATCTTGATCGAATGAACAATCAGAACCCTTTATACATCGTTTACAGCAAAAGATGGACTTGAAGGCAGCATTAAAATGAGGATTGTAATAGTAGCAAACAAAGACGTTAGAAGTACTATAAAAGTAAGCAATATACTTGGTAAAGGTGCGAACTATTAGTACTTTTGATATGATATGACAATCGAATTTTTTAACCTGTAGTATGATGGCGTTTAAGATTTTGGTATTAATTAACAGAACATAAATCCAATAAGGTAACCAAGCTATTAAATAAGCTGTAAATATAAATACTGACATTTGGCGTAATTTCTCTTTAACTTGATCAATACTTTCATCTGGTTGGTAATAGCTATTGCCACTTAATTTATGATGACTTTTGGAACGATAACTTCGACCTATTTTCAAGCCCTTTATTACTCGAATATTATAATAAGTTGCTACCAGCATAGGCATAAAATAGGTAATAGCAAAAATGCTAAAATCGTAAACAGGTCGATGCCCTCCATTTCCCCACGAGCTATCGATGACACAATAATCATTCTTACCATAGCGGGTAATCTTTAAAACTATAGCATAGGGAATCATACAAGCAATAGCTACAACCCAAGAAAATATTATACTATAGAGTGCTTGTCTTCGATTTGGCTGGATATTAAGCGGCAAACAGATAACCCGATAGCGTGCATAGCACATAAAGGTTATGGAAAATGCAGACACAACTACAGTTACAACAAATGAAGAATATGTAATCTTGCAAAGGAACTCTCCAAAGGGCCATGATTCACGATAGATTATATCGGTTATAAATTGTAATAATCCTGACGCTAAGAATAGCAACGTTACAATACTGTAATTTAGCATCATAATATTAGTAAAAGTCCACAATCGATGAGTACGAACAATAACGTAAGCAATAATAAGATTTCCAACTGTGGAGACTGTACAGATTGTAATAAATGCCACAATTTTAACAATGAGGATGATACCTTGCGTAGATTCAAAATTGCCGTCATCGATACATGATCTTGTTTGATTGGGAATACTAAAGGATGAATTTTTCAATGTCATATTAAGCAGAATTGGATTTTCCTACAACATACGTATATCAAAAACAGAATATCAATGAGAGATTAAATATAATTCAAGAGAAGAAATATTTTGTCTTCCTCAGAAAGATGAATAGCAAAAAATTTCTTTAATGTACAATATAAATCTCGTATATATTACAAAAACTAGCAATTATATATATCAATTTAATAGCATTGAGACACATCAATACGTAATAAGAGATTCGCATAGAATTTAAACGAAAAGAAACAATACCCGAATTTTTCGAGAATTTTGAAAACAATTCTAGTTGAATCATTGATAGTTTGTTTTTCAATTTCTATTTCAAGTTATGATTTTTAAATTTAATCAGAATTTAAATTGTTAATTTCCTACTTCTTTTAGCTTATTTTATCTGTGCAATTATAATTATCATGCAAATAGAATTCTCAAATCATATAAATTAATATAAATATGATAATGAATAAAATGATTAAAAAATCCTTTAGGTTCAAAGAAAACTATTTTTCAGACAATCTTCTTACAGAAACTGTCATAGGGTAAAAGTAACGAAAAATTTTTGTACGTATCCCCTTCGAATTGGAGCCAGAAATTATTTATACTTTTATTCTAAATGAAACTGTTACCCAATTAATTAAAAGAGATTCAGTTGAATGCTTTAATTAATCGCTAACTATTAATGAACTGTCAGCTCCAAAACAAGATATGCAATTTTTATAGATGAAATTATTACATATTCACGGATTGTATTAAAGGATGCGTTCCATCTAATCTCTTTTTGTAAAGGGTCGAATATGACATTTAGATTAATTTAAACTTTTCCCAGATAATAGCTAATTCAGATTGCTGTCAAAATAAGATCATGCTTAGTTACAGTTTTGTATCATATAACTTATCAAGGTTATTAATTTCTACATGTAAAGTAAAATACGCACATGCCATTAATGAAATGACTATTTGAATGTATATTTTATGATATCGTACAATGATACAATTAGCCAAGACTGGACCAATTATTATTTATGAAGATATTATTGATGTCATACGAGAGAAAGTTATATAACATATAAAACAAACTATATCATCTCCAACAACGTTAATCATTTATAATTATAACATTAATCCTGTTAAAACGGTCGGCTTCATTTCGTGATTTATGATATGTACAAAACATAGTATCAATAAATAAGCTGTTAAAAATAATTTCTAGCTTTTAAAGAAGTCAACTTTACTTTTGCTATATCAATCTAGCAATATATCAGTTTCAATATATACGTATCCTGTAGGCGTTAGTTCATAGACTTTCATGATGGAAGTAATGAGATCGTACTATATCAAGGTAAGTATTATATTATATCCTATTAGCAGTTTCTGTAATATTGTCTGATATCAATAGATTATATAAAAAAAAAATGTTTGTCTCCACCTTAATAATAGACTAAAAATTGACTATATTAATCAAATTCTTAATTCACACTCGCTATATCAATAAATGCTAACGCTATATTTAATCTATTTCTAGACTAAAATGCTTAACTAAGCTAAAAGATCTACGAAATTGTCTGTTATATTTCGAACTATACGAACAAGTAGTGTAATGGTCCAAGGTAATGCCTTATAAAAGAATAGACACCGTCTAGTGTAGAAGCATTAATCGGTTAATGGAAGATTGTAAAGAGTCTGAAACAAAGCTAACTTTGAGAAATCGGCATAACTATGATTCGTAAAAAATAATATGCATTATATGTAAAAGGGAAGCGGTATATCAATGTGATGAGTAATGTAATAGAATATCTATGTACATTATAATAAATATCACCATCATATCATCTACATTTAATAAATGTAACTTCGTATTCTGTCACAATTATCAATACGTAGATTAATTGAAATAAGCAGGCCGAAGAAAATGATAAAAGAGATGCATGCATATCATGAACAAATGAGCTAGTATCATAATAGAGAAATGTTGGCGCGTATGAACAAAATATGAGCTTGCTCTATCTCAACTATTTTACCAACAGTATGTAGGCTCCCTTTAATGAAAATTTTTTAAAATGAGCCCGGGAATATTTAATAGAATAAATTTCAGGATAAAAAATTATAAATTTTAGATGACGGCATTAAACTTTTTAGCCTATAACAAAATTTTTAAAGTGTTCACAATATTAAAACTTTCAGACCGGTATGATTATCCGCTCATCCTTAAAATTAGAATTCAATACTTTTGATAATATTTGTGAGCTTACCTTCATAATTTTTATTTAAAAACAGTCAACGTGTTAAAATGCTTAGAAATTGATTGCAGATCGAATGGCACATAAAATTTCAAAGTAGTATATAGCGATTTAACATCAGTAAACGTGATTTTGTAATATTTTTACCATGAAGGAATCAGCAAAGGATGTGTACATTCGTATATACGTATCGAATTCGGAAATATCAATTGAAGTCAGAGTGAGAGTGAGAAATCAAGTGCATGTAAGCAATATTTGTAGATTATGATAGAATCGACTTAGTTAATCATCATTCTTTAATTATTCTTAGGTAAAAGTTACTGCAATTGTTTAGCTATTCATTATGTATTAAATATAGAAGGGATTGTTAACTAAATTATTGATACTATAATCACGAAGACATGGATGCGATTATTATGCCGATCGATTTACTTGTATTTCATTGTCATTTTTTTATTCAAGTTATTTATATTAAGGGTAATACTGAACTGCCAGTACACAAAATGATGTCGCTATCCTACCAACAATAACCACGATAAATTAATAATCTGATTATCATAGAAAGTGAAATAACGCCAGGTGTCAAGACAATTCACTTGAACTCTGCAATGAGTGAATACATTTACAAATATTCTATATCGATTGATTGCTCGCCAGAATCTATAGTTATAACTGATATGATTTAGGCTATGACTATAAAATTTATCTTTCAGTTTGCTTAGCTTGTACACCATTACTTGTGCTCTTATTAGAAATGATAACACAATTTCAGATATAGTTTTTTGCTTGCTGTTAAAATATCGAGATTAGAAAAAATGCACAAAATACCTCGTATATATGAACGTAACCGCATGCGAAGTCTAGGCTTAGCGGCATTTATGAATAAATGTTACTGTAGCAGCTTACAATACAGTTTTTTAATGTTAATATCGTATAACTTGACATTGATGCTTACTAGGACATGGAAATATATTCAGTAGAAAAAAACATCGCAATAAGGACAATGTTGTTTATTTCCTTATAAATACATTTGGTATCACACGCATACAACGGAAACTTATTTGTTACTTTCATGTATTAGTCGATATACTTAGCACTATACTAAATTATTGAGTTAAAATATAAACAGCCTTGTGGTTGAGATGTAATCATTTTTCCAAATTAACATTATCGTAATAATAACTTTACTGCCATTGCTATTTCATAAATCTGACAAGGCGTTAGGAAAAATTTTATCCTAAACAAAAAGCGAATGATATTAACGTTTATTAGCTGTAATTATTATATCTGCATTAAATTACTGGCAAGAACGTTTGTATTCCAGTAACAACAAGTTAGGTAGCGTAATCGATTTGCATTGAAAATTTCTTATTCCATCGATTGACGCGCAGTTTATATAACTAGAGGAATCACAGTTTGAACTCAATCTGCAACGAGTTGTCCTATCTAAGATAGTCAAATATGTCATAAAAATCTGGAAATTCTTTAAAAAATATCCCAGTAGTAAAGGGCTAAAGCCTAAATCAGTAGTCTAACTCAATGATCATCCTTTACAAATATATCCAGAAGCATAGTAAAGAAGATATTACGAAAAGTGTTTTCTAAATGTTGAAAGCTATAATAAAAAAAATACTTCCCGTATCGGTTTCGTGTCAAGTGTAAATATTGTCCAGTATTATTGATAGAATAATCCTGAGAATGGTAATGAAAGGAACCGTTGTTTGGTCATAAAGATAGATAAAATAAATAATTTTAATCATAAAATTTGAAAAATTGCTTTATGTACGAAGGACGTCTAGAAAGTATTTTTAGAGATCAGTAATACTTTGTTATCATATTTAAATTAGCTGATCATAGTATTTGAATAGGTGGATGGAAAAGTGGCTGTCCGAATTCTTGCATCATAAACATATCTTGAATACTATAGTGAATTCGTTTAGACTATGGATCAGAAATATTACGTTAAGATCGTTTTGTTAGGCAACAATTAAATCATGGATTTTAATAATACTATCATATAGTCATGCATAAAATTCTTTATTTTTAGCTATTGCATCGTTTCACTTTATATATATTTCTTAAATTAATGACAATATTAAATTGATACACGGTATCAACATAAATTAATTGAATCAGTTATTGTTAGTGATGAAGTTTAATGAGTTTAAAGGCTGTGGGTTAATCAACATTGAGTGCTAGGTACTTCATATTTGTTTCACATATTGAACAGTAATTGCTGTTAGCGGCGTTTGAAAACCCTCATATGTGCTCTCGCCTATGCTAGTTCATATGCTGGTAGGCACTTTATAAATCACTAGTTCCTCCTTTGCTCGTTATACTTCGTATGCTATACTCGCTTGATAAATATTAAGAAAGCGAATAAGGTTCCATTGACGTGATATGAATTTATTCAACTGCATGCATTCTTTATAATTTTTCCCAGAGTGAAACGTTGCTATATTCATTTGTGACGAGTATTCTGTCAAATTTAAAAAAAATTCTTTTTATTTTACTGTATAAGAAGTATAGACAATTACTCTTTGAATGATATAGTTGTTACACTTTCTAGTTTATCGTAACAATAATTTAATAGTCCAGTAGGGCTTGAGTACTGAACTATCACGAGTCCAATAGAGCTTAAGTACCGAACTAACTTTATTATGCGTTAGGAGCCGTTATATATAAGAGACAATTACCAGTAATGTGCAATAACGGACATACCATGAATGTTAACGACAATCTTATCTTATTCATAATAAGATA